AGATCAGGTGGTAGGACGTGGCTCATTGGGCCAGATGGCACCTCCCTTTTTGCACCCCCATGATGCTTGTTGTCGATGTAATGATGGAGTGTTGAGGTGTGTTGGTAGCGTCCCCCTCTCCCCTCGTGCCTTGACATCCCCTAAACGTGCGGCCGAAGGCCGCGCCGTGAGCGACGGCCGCCGAAAGCGGCCGGCGCGAGCCGCCACCAAAGAAAAAGTGGATAATGAACTGGAAACTAAACAAGGAGGAGAGAGAGCCAAGGGATTAAGTACCTAGCTAGGGCAGGCAAGGGCTCAGGTGCTCTCTTCCCTTCTCTCTTCCCTTCTCTCTTCTCTTCCCTCCCTCCCTCCCTCCCTCCCTCTTTGACGTTTCCTTCTCTCCATTGCTTTCCCCATTGCCCATCACCTGCATTTCCCCAGCCATGCACGTTGCGAAAGCTGTCGACGCCTTCATCACAACAAGGCTTCGACCCAATAAACTCAGTCCCTCACCTCGCCCTCCCTCTCCTCAGCCTTCTTCCTCCGCAAAGGCATTTTACGCCCTCTCTCTCCTCCTCCTCCCCCTCCTCCCCCTCTTCCCCCTCCGCTCTAACCCCTACTCTCCTGTGCGTGCCTCTCTCCTAATATCCTTCCGCTCTACCTTCCTCCAAACAGAGCGAACAAGTGACCGTGGGCAAAGTGGACGTGGATTGGGGCGAAGTGTTTGGCAAACAGACTCCTGGCCCACATTTCTATATTGGAAGGCGGATCCGTGTCGTGATCTCGACCAACACTTCCACTCATATTCAGGGTGATGTCCCCTGGGTGGTGAGGCAGACGTGTCTATTCCAGGCTCAGCAGCGTAAATCCGAGACATTCTATATGGAGTGTTACCAGCGGAAGAGCTCTACTCTTGACAAGGGTCATCTCCCAGTGCTTTCCCCCAAATGACCTTTCCACCACCGTATCCCTCTCCCTTGTAGAGCGTGTTTTTTCCAGAAAAATCTTTTATTTCCCTGTCCTCTATATCTCGCTCTACAGATTCTTAGCCGTGGAGCGATCTTGGGACCGACACTACAAAGGCTGCGAGCGGTGTTCTTGATGGGATAGCAAGGCAGATGGTGAGCTATTTTCGCCTGCAGTAGCATGCACTAGTATGCACTGGCATGCGCTGGCATGCACTGGCATGCACTAGCATGCACTGACATGCATTGACATGCACTAGCCTATACTAGCATGCACACTACTAACATCTTGTTATCATACTTTTGATTCTGTTTTGTGGCATCACATAACAAGCATCAAACACGTGTTGTGTCGATCCCTGCATGCATGCAAGATGCCCCTCCTTCGTTCTATGCCCCCCCCTCCAACCCCCCCCCCCCCCCCCCCCCCCCCCCCACGCCTCCTTAGTTCCCCCAAACGCATGCATGGACGACGCACCACTAGCACTCCAGGGCTCCTCCATCGAGCTATACCAGCTGTACGATGTCTTTACAACACATCAGAAGGTCGTGAATGGCATCACTGTCGTCATGCTTAACTTCATGGGGAGCATAACCAGTGAGCGTCCTACTCACTACCAGGCGTTGCTCACGTTGCTGACCTCTGGTGGTGTCGTGACTCTCAAGGCCATGGAGTCTGGCAAGGGTGACAAGATTGTGTGACACTGGGAGCTTGACATGCGTCTGCTCTGCATCAGTGTTGTAGTAGCATCTTCCGCTAATGGGGGTGTGCAGTGGCATTTCTGCAAATGGGGGCATGCAGTAGCATCTTCCGCTAATGGGTGTGTGGTGGGGGGCTGAAAGGGCTGTGTTGTGGTGTTTTGTTAATGCGCTACAACGTTTTTAGATCGATACACACATTTGCATTTGGTAGAGTTTTTCCATGAGTGTTGTTGTACATCGAACCGATGAGCTCTAACCTTGCAGCTGTTGTGATAAAATCGTACTTAAGCATTTCTGTAAGTAATTCCGATAGATATTGTCGAGTTATACTGTTCCTAGCATCCGTAGAATGACATCAGCAAATAGCGCTCGTCTGGATGATTACGCTAGCAGGCCGTTTCAGTCACGCGAACAGTTGCGCCCCTTTCAGTAGCGATTAGAGCGCATAGAGCAAGTAGTTTTGAACAGGTACATTACCGAACAGGTACCTCTAGCAGATATAAGAGTAGCTCGTATGATTTCAATTATCAACTTGTTCTTGAGTAAATTCTTGTCAACACTTACAAGTTCTAAGACTTTCGCTATCTTACTAGTCTACCATTCCAGCAAAGATCCTCACTTAAGTCTTGAAGTATCACAAGGCTGTAACATTGATTTTGGTGTTACAACTTGTTAATACTGGCTGTTACTGGAGGTACTTCCAGTATTATTTTCTACTTCAAGTACTTGTGTTTGCAGATTCTATACTTAGTCTTCTGCACCGCTTTTAAATTCTTACATGGTATGAGAGCAATCTGGAATTAAGACTATCATCAACTCTACAAATGACTGGACCATCATTAGCTCCAACAGCTGGTTCCTCAACAACCGGACCCACGTGTATTACAAATCCTACAGTTTTTTACAGGCCAAGCAGGTGATTCTGCTGTTGGAAATTTTCCACCTGCATATGCTTTAATTGGGATGCCTCAACAGCAGCAAAGGTTCCCTACCATGCATACACCAGGGATTTCATCCTCTGCACCTGCAACACAGCAACAAGCACCATCGCAACAAGCAGCAGCATCAGTAACAGCAGCTTTTAGTGGCATGAGTCTTGATGGTTCCAGTTATGCAAGAGCTGTAGCCACTCCAAGCTCCACTTCTTCGTTTGCGTTTACACCTGCACAACAGCAACAGTTCTAATTTCTGCAATAGCAACAACAAGCGCAACAACAGTTTCAGACGCCAACAACAAGCGCAACAACAGTTTCAGACGCAACAACAACAGCCACAACAACAGCAGTTTCCGCAGCAACAGATTGGCTTTACTCGACCTGTTTTTTAGGCTCCAAATCTTTTAAGTACTACGCAGATCAAGACAACAATACCTTTTAATGAGGATGACTTCTATTCCTGGAGTTTCGAGTTCGAGCTCCTCTTCTTCAGCGGCGATTGTGGCCCTTCTTCAGCGACGATTATTCGTATCCTATTACGGAACATAGATGGAGCAGCAAAGCTTTCTTCATGCTTTACTCAGCGCTTATACAGTTCTTATTCGAAACCTGTCACTGAAAGAGCAACTTGGGATACGCTCTTCACACCAGCTTGACTCCAGCCGAATCTGCATGGAAGCATTTGAAGGGGCTGTATATGGCACAGGACACCATTTCCGTGAGTAAGATTCTCTCACAACTGACAACTGTGCAGATGCAGGGCAACGAGAACGTTTCGGATTATATCAACAAGGCTCGCACGTTTCGCGACCAATTGGAAAAATGTGGCGGATACTTTCCAAAGGACATGTTCGTAACAGCTCTTCTTCCCGGCCTTGGAGCAGAATGGTGACAGTGTCGATCTCTTCTTCGCATTCAACCAAATATTCTTGAAGCTGAAATTTGTTCGATTCTTCAAGCAGAGCAGCAAGACCTTGACCTGCAAATAGCACGTAACAAAAAGGGTAATGTCAGTTTCTATTCAATGCCTGCAAAACGCATCAATAAGTTTTTCTGTCACTACTGCAAAAAGGATGGACACAACATCAAATATTGCAACAAGCTTCAAGCTGATAAGAAAAAAGGTGCGCAGCAGCCGTCGCAGTAGTCCAAACAACCCGTGAAGCAGAATCCACCAACAACGTTTGCCACATCCGGAAAACAAGTTTCCAGTTGTGTTACAACAGTTCATGCAACAGATTCAGATTTCAACGATGAGGGGGAAAATAGTTCAATTGAACAACCCGAAAATATGGTCTTACCTCAGGTTCATGCTAATCTCGCTCGGATTATTGCAGGACCCAACACTTGGTATCTCGACAGTTGTTGTGGTCAACACATGTGCTCTGCCGAGACGCTATTCATCACTCATCAGCGTCCTCTTCGACGTCCCGTACCTGTCACAGTTGCAAATGGACAAACAATTATGGCACGATCCATTGGCAGTGTCATGCTGGATTCTATTGACACTGGTTTTTCCTTACATGTAACGAACGTCCTCATCATCGCTGGACTTGGTTTCAATATTTTTTCAACGGCTCAACTCCTGCGACATAAGATCAGGACACAAGGCAATTGTGAAACTATGGACCCGGAACTTTATCACAACGATACCAAAACTTACGTCGGGAGAGCTGCCACTCAATATGGCATCTCCGTTCTTCAATTTGAAGCACAAGGAACTTCGGGAGATTCCAAAAGAGTGTTATCTTTTGGACCTTGGCAACATCCTGAAGAAATTGATAATCAAAATGTTGAAATAGACTTCTGTGCAACTGCAGTTCCAACGGGATCTCGTACAGCTGCTGCAGTTGTATAACAGCTCTTGATTCCTGGCCAATAAACAGAGCCGAAGAAGATACATCAGCGTGGCAAAACTACTATGATACTCTAGCACAACTCGAAAACAAAACTGAAGAACCTTGGGGGCCCAGCTGCAGTACCAGTGAAGCAGAAGCAGTAGAGCAACAGAGTAGCAGTGAAGCAGAAACAGGGGTTCTCATCGGTCAACCTGCAGCAGACACAACAGAAACAGAAATCGAAGAAGGAGAGTTCGTTCTAAACCAGAAAAAGTTCTCGACATGGAGGTTAAAACTACTAAGTTACCTCTTACTCGACAACTCGACAACTCGACGAATCCCCAGCACTTTCTCCTTTCATAATTTCTTCTTTTTATACTAACGCCGATTTTTATCTGTTATCAATAGGACACAAAGCAACAGAGGATATATGGCATCAACGGTTAGGTCATCCGTCTCGGAGCATACTTAATCATTCTATACAAGCATTAGTTCTTGATAAGAAAAGTTTACTATTACCTCATGGTGTTAGGATTAAGGACGGAGTCTAGGTGAACTTAGGAGCTAGAATTACTCAAAATATAAATCCGAAATTCTGGACAGAAAAGTCGTCTTCACAAGAAACGACGTCGACAAAAACCTAGCCGTTGGAATGTCGCGAAACTTGGATATGTTGTAGCTCTTAATCTCAGCTACCGTTCCCATTTTGAATCACGTTGATTGATGAAGTATTCGCGACGCTATGGCTTTCGACGCACTAGGGGGTAAGCTGTAGGAGGAGAACTTAACTCAATCTCAAGAGTTCAATAAAGGTTCAAGAATCTCACAAGGAATTAGAAGGAGCAAGAGAAAGGTTGGGATAGGAAGAGAGGGATGAGAGGGAAGGTCCCAAGAGAGTCCCCAACCAAGGAAACCCCATAAGCACAAAGATTCCCTCCCTATAGGAACCTCAACTTTGACCTTTGTCCCTTCCCAACCAATCCATCCAAGTTGGCCACCCTTGCCAACCTAGCTTGGTTGTTCCCAACCTATTTGCAGCTGTTACAGTAGAGTGACAAGTTTCCCCAACCCCAAAGCTCCCAACTCCATATAAAGTCACCCCACAACTTCACTTAGTAACCGCCGCAATTGTAACGCAAGCTCATGAACTTTCAATCTTCATAGCTTTCGCGTTCTTGCTCCGATTGAAGCGATTCTTGTTGCGTCGGAAAGATCTTCTCAAGATCTATCATCACAAATACCTGCTCAAACAAAAATAACACAGAAAACATTCCCAAACTCCAGCACACACCACACAAATGCTTGCACATTCAAACCACACATGCAAGTTGAAAACATGGGATGGGAGGCAGACAGAATGTGATAGCATATGATGACATCACACAACAATCTCCCCCTCTGGCTGCCAACCATCATCCACCATACCACATCTCAAGCATGCATACTCAATGCACACTCATCCCAGCAAGCTTCATGCCCTTCCAATGATCCGCCTCCGCCAGACGCTTAGTGAAAATATCTGCTGCCTGCTGATGGGTCTTCACTATCTCCAGCCGCACCTCCTTATCAAGGATTCTCCTCACCCAATGCCACTTAGGCCTTATGTGTTTTGTCAGCCCATGCAGACAAGCATTCTTGGCCAGCTTCACTGCAGACTCATTGTCACAGAACACAACTGTCGGCTCCTCCTGACCAACTCCCAACTCCTCCAACAAACGCCTCAGCCATACCACTTCCTTGGCCCCATGGTGTAAGGCCATGTACTCAGTCTCACATGAAGACAATCCCACCTCATTTTGCTTCTTGCTGCGCCAGCTCACAGCACCACCTCCCAGCAAGCACACATAACCCCCAATGCTGGTGCCATCCGCTTTCACTGAGTTGAAGCTAGCGTCAGTATAGCAACTCAAGAGCATCTCACCACTCTTCACATCTGCAGCACCTCTCTGCAACCGCTGCCTCACTCCACTGTACTCCAATCCCACTGATGCCGTAGCACTCACATAGCGGACCAACCTCTTGGCCGCTTCCAGCTGCTCATGACTAGGACGTGAAACCACGCTAGCCAGTCGTGATGTAGCAAATGCAATGTCAGGCCGTGTATGATTTGCAGCATAATTCAGCGACCCAACCATCGAATGAAACAGCTTCCTGTCACTATCACCCACTACCTCCTCATCAGCACATGGCTCCACAGTAAACCCTGAAGGTAGTGGTGTTGCTGGCTTTCCCCCATCTTGCAGCCCATACTTCTCAGCCAGCCCCTCACAGTACTTCCTCTGGTGCAACCTCAGCACACCCTTTTCCACATCTCTCTCCACATGCATCCCCAAGTAGTACTTCGCCTCACCCATCTTGGAGCACTTGAACTGCATCTCCAGCATCTGCTCTGCGCTGTCCAGCAAAGCAGTGGATGCAGAAAAGAGAAGGATATCATCCACATACACCAAGAGCATGAGGATTTCATCCTTCTCCTGCAGCAGGAACAGGCTGGGGTCACACTCACTCTTCTTGAAACCCCCAGCCAACAGCGCCTCCTCCAACTTGTGATACCATGCACGAGGCGCCTGCTTAAGGCCATAGATGGCCTTCTTCAGCCTGCAGACCCTGCCGCTCCCATCATCCAGCCCCTCTGGCTGCTTCATGTACACCTCCTCCAGAATGATCCCATTCAGAAAGGCAGTCACAATGTCCATCTGCCGTATCTTCCATCCCAGGAGTGCAGCTATCGCCAACAGCACCCTCAGTGTTGTTCCTTTCCCCACAGGAGCAAACACCTCATCATAGTCCTTCCCCTTTGTCTGCTGAAACCCCCGTGCCACAAGCCTAGACTTGTAGCGAGTCAGCTCCCCTTCAGGTCCATACTTGTGCCTGTAGATCATCTTGGAAGTGATTGCCTTCTTCCCAGGAGGCAAGTCACACAGGTCCCATGTCTCGTTCTCAATTAGGGACCCGAACTCCTCATCCTCACTCGCCTTCCACTTCTCCCCATTTGGTCCATTCAAAGCCTCCTCTCGAGTCTTGGGCTCAGGGATTGGTGCCCAGTAGCAGTGAGCGATCTCATCTTCCTCAATCTGCTCAACCACACTCCCAGCCTGCACCACATTCGGCTTGCCTCTTCCCCCATAGGTCAGCCTCACTGGAGGGCGCACATCCCTCCTAGGACGCTCAGGCGGGTGTGGAACTCGAGGTGGAGACTCATGCTGCTGCTGCTGCTCCACTTCAGCTGCTCCCCCTTCCTCAGTCTCCCCAGACATCTCCTCCTCTGACACTGCAACCTCCACCTGTCTTGAAGGCTGCTGCACCTCATCTGCCTCCACAATGAGCGGTGTAGATGGAAGCTTCTGTTGCTGCTGCTTCCATTCCTTGTAGTACAGGGACTCAAGAAACTTCACATCCCTTGACACTGTCAACTTCTGGGTGGTCAAGTCCCATAGCAGCCACCCCTTGTGATCCTTTGCAATCCCCAAGTGCACACCCCATCTTCCAGAAGCCTCCAACTTCCCCCTTTTCTCCTTAGGCACATGAAACACCACCATGCACCCAAATGCCCTCAGCATGTTCACAGCTGGAGCACTCCCATACCACTTGACATATGGGATCCACTCCTTATCTCCAACTGTAGCCAGCACCCTGTTCTTCACAAGGGCGACCTGCCTCAGTGCAGACACCCAAAACGGATCAGGCAGCCCTGCACGCCCAAGGAGAGTGCGTGCCCCCTCCTGCAGGGTCCTGTTGAACCTCTCAGCCACGCCATTCTGCTGTGGGTTGTAGGGCACTGTCAGTTGATGGTGGATCCCCTTCCTCTTCAACTCCCCCTCAAAATCAGCTCCAATGAACTCCCCACCATTGTCACTACGGATCACCTTCACCTTGTGTCCGCATTCCCTCTGAGCTCTCGGCATCCACTCCTTAAGGACAGCCGCTGCCACCTCCCCCTTGCTCTTCAAAGGGTAAACCCACACTGCCCGAGTGTGGTCATCCACAATTGTCAAGAAATAGCGGCTACCTGAGAGGGAAGGGGCTCTTGTGGGCCCCACCACATCCATGTGCACAAGTGCAAGTGGGGTCTTGGCTGGTCCTGTAGTGCTGTTGAAGGGGAACTTGGAGAACTTGGTCTCCAAGCATGTAGGGCAGCTCCCAATCTCCTTCACTCCCCCTTTCACCTCCAAGCCCTTCAGGCTCCCATCCTTCACCAACTTCTGCAGCATAGGGAAGTTCACATGACACAGCCTCTCATGCCATGTCTCCCAATCGGCCTCACCACTCCTTGATGAAGCCTTAGCCCATGCCGCACTCGCATCCACACCAGCAAGCACCTCACTATGTGTCTGCTGCTGCTGCACTTTCTTGACTGCTTCCAGGACCCCATCAGTTGGTGCAGTTGCATCTCCTCCTGCTGTTGCCTTTGCCGCTGCTGCCGTTGCTGTTGTTGGAGTCTTCCCATTCCAAGGGATGATGGGCAGCTGCCATAGGTCCTTGATGCAGCTGGTCTCCTCTTCCAGACTCCACAGCACCTTCTTCCCAAGCTTAGCACGGCAGCTGGTTGGTCCAAAGGTCACTTCGGCCTTGCTCTTCTGCAGTCGCCGCACAGAGAGAAGGTTAGCAGACAAGCCTTCAACCAGCAGAACATTCCCAAGCCCCACAAGCTCCCCATTAGCTCCCTTAACCTTGGCATTTCCAACACCAATGACAGGGAGCAAAGCACCTGACGCTGCTGCCACATACTTGATCTTCCCAGGGGGTTTTACCTCATCAAGCAAATCTGCCCGTGGGGTCATGTGACTGGTGCAACCTGAATCAATCACCCAGTGCGTGAGAGGGTGCATCACAACCTTTCCCACAGATCCCACATCACCCTCATGCCCATGCACATCCTCAACCATGAGAAACATCCCAGGATAGGCATTACCTTGTGCACCTTCACCTTGTGCACCTGAGCCTTGCACAGCACCACCTTGTGCGCGTTCACCACTGGGCGGCTTCATGCCTGGAGGTGCCCATCCCTCCGGCCTGCTGAAGCACTTGAACCAAGGATGCCCTATCTTCTTGCAGTACCAGCAGGTGCCCTCCATTCTGGTACTCCCCCTGCCACTGGAGCTTCCATGCCCCTCATTATAGTCACCTCGGCCTCTACCTCTGCCAAAGCTTCTCCCACGGCCTCGGCCTCTCCAACCCCCTCTTCCTCTGCCGCGCCCTGCAGCTCCATACCCCTCAGCAGTCTTAGTGGCAGCACCGCCTCCCACATGGCGTCTGCGGAAGTCCTCCTGCAGAATCTGCTGCCTTAGCCACTCAGGTGTCCATTGATCTTGCTGAGAGTTGAGGGTGGGGATGAGGTTGTCCCAAGAGTTGTCCAACACCGAGATGATCTTGGTGCACTGCTGCAGCTGAGATACACTGCTGCCCGCTGCTGCCATCCTTGCATAGGTGTCCTTGATCTTGTCAAGGACCGGCTTCACATCGTCCCCTGGTCGCATGGAGATGGCAGCAAGTTCCTTCTCGAGCACGATCACCATCGGGAGAGTGTTGGGCTGAACCACATCACGTAGTAGTTTCCACGCCCTTGGACCCGAATCATCCGCTTCCACAAGATCCTTGATGTGTTCGAACATCTCCTTGTTGACCGATTGAAGGATGAGGTCGAAAAGCACCGCGCTTTTCTCAATCCACCGTTCACGTGCTTCGCCTTCTTCCGGCATCTTCTCTTCCCCAACAGCAATCTTCAGTAGCTTGTAGCGTTTGAAGGCACTCCTCATCCGTCCGCTCCATTCCTCATAGTTGGAGCCATCCAAAGCTTCGACTTTTGATGGCGGCGGCTCACTTGTCTTCTCAGCTACAGCTCCTCTTCCATTAGCATCTCCTCCTCTCTCATTCATCTTCTCCTTGAGAAATGACGAATTTCAGCTCCCCTTTGCTGTCCACACTCAGCTCCCTCGATATTTTCACAAGTATCGGCGTCCACGAAATTTCGGCAGAGTTTCCCCTTAGCGGAAGACACATCCAACCTTTAGAACACCACTTAGGCACACCCACAGGCCATGGTGGGTCTAGAAGGGTCTTCACACTTCTGTAGACTCCTCTCAATGTCCTTAATATGGCTCTGATACCACTTGTTAGGATTAAGGACGGAGTCTAGGTGAACTTAGGAGCTAGAATTACTCAAAATATAAATCCGAAATTCTGGACAGAAAAGTCGTCTTCACAAGAAACGACGTCGACAAAAACCTAGCCGTTGGAATGTCGCGAAACTTGGATATGTTGTAGCTCTTAATCTCAGCTACCGTTCCCATTTTGAATCACGTTGATTGATGAAGTATTCGCGACGCTATGGCTTTCGACGCACTAGGGGGTAAGCTGTAGGAGGAGAACTTAACTCAATCTCAAGAGTTCAATAAAGGTTCAAGAATCTCACAAGGAATTAGAAGGAGCAAGAGAAAGGTTGGGATAGGAAGAGAGGGATGAGAGGGAAGGTCCCAAGAGAGTCCCCAACCAAGGAAACCCCATAAGCACAAAGATTCCCTCCCTATAGGAACCTCAACTTTGACCTTTGTCCCTTCCCAACCAATCCATCCAAGTTGGCCACCCTTGCCAACCTAGCTTGGTTGTTCCCAACCTATTTGCAGCTGTTACAGTAGAGTGACAAGTTTCCCCAACCCCAAAGCTCCCAACTCCATATAAAGTCACCCCACAACTTCACTTAGTAACCGCCGCAATTGTAACGCAAGCTCATGAACTTTCAATCTTCATAGCTTTCGCGTTCTTGCTCCGATTGAAGCGATTCTTGTTGCGTCGGAAAGATCTTCTCAAGATCTATCATCACAAATACCTGCTCAAACAAAAAATAACACAGAAAACATTCCCAAACTCCAGCACACACCACACAAATGCTTGCACATTCAAACCACACATGCAAGTTGAAAACATGGGATGGGAGGCAGACAGAATGTGATAGCATATGATGACATCACACAACACATGGAACAGAGATGAAGCCGTCTTCTCGACGGACAATCTGCACGACGTGCACCACTGCTAATCTTCCTCACGAACCTTTTCCAAGTCATTTTCGAGGATCAACTCGCTACACCCTTATGCAAAAGTCTACAGCGACATACTCAACTTACCTGAAGCAGGACCTAAAGGGGAGCCTCTATATGATCTCCTTTATCGAAGCTTCTACTCGCTACGTTTGGACTGCCAATATTCCAACTCGCCATATGGCTCACTCTATCTTCGTTGCATGACTCGCGGTGGCTGAGAGAGAGTCGAAGGAAAAGCTTCAAGAATTTCAGAGTGACGGCGCAGGAGAGTATACGAACACAACCTTCTCTAAGTATCTTCAAACCCTAGGCATCAAACGCCGAGGGTCTCTGCCACTTCAACACCAACAGATGGGGGTAGCGGAGAGGCTGAACACCACATTTTTTTACATACGCTTTGGATCATGTAGTTCTTCTGCACAACTTGCTGTGCACAACATCTCTTCCACAATTTTCTTCGCCACACCAATAACGACCTCCAACTACAGCACTTGGGGAATTTTTCGGAAAGGGCTAAGTGGGGGATTCATATTGGCATCGAGAAACAGTTTTACGCATGGAAAATTATGGATCTTCGCCCGAGTCAAATCATACCAGCACGTGATTGTCTTTTCTACGAACGACTCACCTTACCTGTTTTTCGTACTCACCAGGCAGCAGCTGCCAATCCCGCCAGGCTGTTCGAAAGCTCGCGTGCTTTCGCTATCGACATATCTGAGGCTGATGTGCAAGATGAATCCGTTGCCGAGTCTTACGAAGCAGCCACAGACTGTCAAAGTTAACGAATAACTAGAACCATGGCATACAAGGGAATATAACCTAGTGGGTTGTACTCTCTAAGGCACAACCCAGTGTAGTCTATAACAACATACAAAGATATGTTTGACACACCCCCTAGACTGGATAGCGGCAGTGCCTAGTGAGAGACAAGTAGCACAAGGTGGCACTACTAGTCCAACCTCTGAGACAAGGGTCTGAAGACCAGTCAAACGAGTACAGACAAGGCAAGAGCAAAACCAGGGTGGCACTACTAGTCCAGCCACTGGGAAGAGGCCACAAGGCCAGTCAGGGTAATATATATAAAGGTCTGTACACAATCAAGGTCCTTGCAAATGAGAGGCTACAGGAACTAGACCAAGCTGTACACAGTGCCGCTGATGATCTTTAGGCGCAAGCGCCTTCGTAAATATATCAGATGTGTTGGCACCAGAGGCCAAGTGTACTACGCGGGCCTGGCGACACTGCTGTAGCTCACGAAACAGGAAGTACCGCAGTTGGATGTGCTTTGCTCTGCCCTCAAGTCTGGGCTCCTGACACAGGAGGATCATGGCCTTGTTGTCAGCGTACAGAACTGGGGCAAAGCTAGGCCGCTCACCTAAGTTTGTGAGCAAGAAAGTCAGCCAACGGAGCTCCTGTGCCGCCATGGCACCAGCATAGATCTCAGCCTCACAGCTAGACTGGGCAATAGACGACGAGCGGGTGGACCGCCACGAGACAGCACCTGAACCAAGGCTAAAGCAATAGCCCTGGGAGGACCGGAGAGACTCGGCGTCGTCGGCCCAAGAAGCGTCTGTGTGCCCGGTAAGGACTACTGGTCTGCGGCCTCCTAGCACTAGCCCCAAGCCCGATGTATTTGCTAGATAACGCAAAACCTTCTTAGCTCCCAACAGTGGATGTGGTCGGTGTCTGCCGGTGGCCACAAAGCGAGCCAAGATGCTGAGAGGGTATACGAGATCTCGACAAGTGCAAGTCATCAGGTACATGAGGCAACCCACCAGCTCTGCGTAGGGGCCACTAGGCTCTACATCCTCCTCCGGGACTGGAGCATAGAGTCTGTGGTCTACTGGTAGAGGGGTGGGCTGTGCGGAAGAGATATCAAGGCCGAACCTCTGAAGGACATGGCGCACCAAGTGTGACTGTGAGAGAGTGATGGTGCGCGCTGCTCGTTCCCTTGAGATGTGCAAGCAAGGTAGCGGCGCAGCTCTCCTAGGTCAGTGCAGGTGTGTCTCCTCAGCAGCTCGGCCTTCATGGTGGCCAGCGCGTCTCTGTCTGCTGTAGCAAAGACCAAGTCGTCTATGTAGACAAGGATGTAGAATGGAGTCTGGCCGGAACGGACGAAGAGGGAGGGGTCTGCAGATGACAGGAAGAACTGCTGGTCAGCAAGTGTAGCACGCAGCGTGACGTGCCACTCACGGGGCACCTGTCGCAAGTCGTAGACGGGGCGCTAGAGGAGCCACTCGGTACCAGAGGGAAAGGTACCGGAGAAGCCCTGGGGGCAGCGCATGTAGACCTAGTCGTGTAGACTGTCCTGGAGGAAAGCTGTAGAGAAGTCGAGGGAGTGGAGCTTGTAATCACGCTGAGCTGCTACGTGTAGCAGTGCCCAAAGAGTAGTCATCTTCGGGGTCGGGGCGAAGTTCTGAAAGAAGTCCACCCCCCTCTCGCTGACTGAAGCCTCGAGCGACGTAGCGCGCCTTGAAGACGGGCGGCACTCCAGGAGGGCGCTTCACCTTGAAGAGCCATCGGCCATCGACTACGTTCACCCCAGGTGGGGGAACTGCGTCGACGAAGGTACCCGTGGATTTCCAAGATGCCATCTCTTGCTCCATGGCAGCTATCCACTGAGAGGCCTAGGGTCACGAGGTGGCCTCAACGTAGGTGCGAGGGGTCGGGATGTCAAGGGCGTCTGGGTCACCCTCAGGGACTAGTAGCATGGAACAGAGATGGGGAGCGGCCTCAGACAGGAAAGCAAGCTTGTACTGCCTGTCCTCTAGGACATCACTGCCAAGGGCAGCCACACGCTCGACGAGCGGAGGGCAGGCAGGGTCAGAGACCAGAGCGGTGGCGTAGTCCAGGCGGTGGGTAGTGGCAAAGTCAGTGACCGCAGCGACAAGAGCCGACAGACTCGAGACAAGAACGGACGGGTCGGTAACAAGAGAGGCAAGGACACGCGGTGAGTACGCGGAACATGGGAGGTAGGACGAGCACGAGATGGACGACGAGACCAGACGTGAGAAGGAGGAGTCGGGTGAGGAGAGAGGGGGGGAGAAACAAGAGGAGAACTGGGAGGAAAACGAGCCAGACAGGATTCCAGAGGAGGAAACACAGGGCTGTAGACCGACAGAGGAGGATGCAGCGGCGACGGAGGAGGCACCGGCAGGCGGTCAGGGGAAGGAAGACCGAGGAGGTGAAAAGCAGAAACCGGCGGTGACTGCTGCGGCTGCTGCTCGACTCCAACACCAAAACCTCCGGCAACAGCACGGCTCCCTCCAAGAGACTCCACGCTAGCACCCCCAGAACGGGAACCTGCTCCAGCACCCGCTCCAGCACGCTCCCCAGAACGCACAAACCCCAGTGGCAGTGACGACGGCTGCTGCGGCCGCGGCGGCGACGGCATCGGCGGAGGCGGCTACGGCGGCAATGGGGAAGGAGAGACCGGGGTGGGGAGGGGCGGGAGAAGGGACTCTGCAGAGCCGCGGGAGTCAGCAGACTCCTCGGCAAGGACACCTGACGGGAGAGGGGTGACGTGAGATACACCGGACGGAGCAGGGAGGGGAGGGGAGGGGGGGCCGCGGCGATCAGGGGAGGAGGAACCAGGAACAAGGGGGGGGTAACTGGGGGACCACGGTGGGGAAAGCAGTGGTAAAAGGAGACTGACTCATCAAAGGTGACGTCGCGGGAGTGAATGAAGCGGTGAGACGGCGGGTGTTAGAAGTGCCAGTCGGACAAGTCGAGGGGGAAACCTAGGAAGACGCAGGGAATGGTGCGGGCAGTGAGCTTGTCCGTGCAAGAGGCACGAGCGTGAGCAAGGCAGCCCCAAACGTGGAACGCAAACGCGTCACCATGTGACCCGGTCTAGAGGAGGGTCAGCGAAACCTGCGGCCGCTGAGGGTGCGGCCACAGGTTAAGCTAGTGTGCGGCGTAGAGAACGGTGAACGGCCACAGAAAATGGGGTGCACCGGCATGGATCATGGAGGTACGAGCCACCTCCATGACCAAACCGATGCGCCGCTCAGCGACCCCATTCAGCTACGGGGAGTCCGGCAGGGTGAACGTCTGGGTGATGCCCTCCGCACGACAGAAACGACCAAGGCAACCAGAGGCGAACTTGCCACCGCGGTCAGAGTGGAGATGCAACACGCGCAGAGACAAGCCACGGGATAAGAGCGTCAGGTGTGTCAGCCTTCTGCTCAAGGGAAAACACCGTGGTGTAGCACGTGTAGTCGTCGACAAGCACTAGGAAGTAGCGCTCCTGACGCGCCCCATGGACTGGGGTGGCGCCCCAGACATCCATGTGCAGGGTCTGCAGCGGTGTGGCGGTGGGGGGGAACGAGGAGGAGTGAGGGGCACGGTGGAGCCGGCCCTCGACGCAAGGCGTGCCTGGCGGCGCTGGAGAGGAGGGGAGCGCAAGGAATGACTCAGGGAGACCTAAGACAAGACTGAGCTGGGACATGTGACGGAGACGGGTGAGAGTGGGGTGACATAGACGGTGGTGCCACAGAAGCGACGGGTGAGTAAGCGACCGACACGAGCAAGCCGCATCAACCTGGGTAGACGCATACACCTGGGGAGACGTCCTAACCGGGGGGAACGCGGTGTCTAGCGTGAACAGGCCAGACACCGGGTCCCGGGGGACATGGTGAGTTGAGCACCAGTGGCGGCCTCGGTACAGACAGCGTACCGCTCGTGTCCAGGGAACGTAGTGGTGACGCCAAGCATCTGGAGGCAGCCGACACCAACAAGGTTCCTAGAGAACGAAGGGATGTGCAGGCCTGTAAGGGAGCTCGAGGGAACCGCCGGACAGGGAAGGGTGGTGGAGCTACGGGCGACTACAGGACTGGAGGAAGGGTCTGCCATGAGCAATTGCGGCGGGAGAGGCAAGTGGCGTAAGCATAGTGGAGTCCCGAAAGAAA